TATCTATCTATCTATCGATCGATCGATGGATCGATCGATCTATCTATTTATCTATCGGTTTATCTATCTATCGATCGATCGATCGATCTATCTATCTATCTATCTATCGATCGATCGATCTATCTATCTATCGGTTTATCTATCTATCTATCTACCTATCTATCTATCTAGGTCACCTCCCGCCTGCAGGGAAGTTGAAACGGGAATTCAGTCTTGGATTCGGATGACCGCACTGCGGACTCTCCAATCATTGAAAACTCCCACCTTTTCATCATCGGAACTTGGGCGGAAGTGCTCCGCCTACTTCTCGATGATTCTGACTGCCAACTTAAAATCCGAAACCCAAGTAAATTACCCTCGACGAATTGAGTAAGGAGTTCACCGCATGACACCCTCCCAACGCATGACACCCGCCGACTCCACCAGTCAGTCCACTTGGTGTTCAAACACTTATGGGGCCTGTGATTTTGGCTGAGTGTCGAATTAACATTGCCGCTTCAGCATGTGTCACTGGTAGGAGGGACGGCCCACTTTTAGATTTCAACTTATCTATTTGAAACCCCAGAAACCTCCCTTCCCCATGTTCGATCCTCAGGGTTTTAACATCTAATTCATGATGATGAACTGAACGTTCAAAATACGAAACCTCATATTTAATCTTCGTTCACATTCTTGAAATCTTCACTCACATAAAACTAGAAAATAATAGGAGTTCCAACTTGAAACCCCCAAAGGCCTTTAAAGAATAGGCGTCAACTTGAAACCTCCTGCCCATTTTTGGGGGAAGGTCAAAGACACTCAGGGATACTCACAGATATCCTTGAGTGTCCCTGAGTGTCTTTGAGTGTCTTGCCCATCTTTTTCGCAGAGTTGTCATTGCCAAAATCTAAGCACATAGTCATAGCCGATGGGGTATCCCCGCTATATCAATTCCGAGTATGAATGTTACATGGCCCTTATTATAACTGCAACTCGTCAGGTTTAGCCCTGTGAGATTCTTCTCTGGTATTTTGGTACGACCACAGTATGTCTGTATGTTTCAACATGCGGGGATAGCAAGTTACCAGAACTCATTCATCGCACTCTCTTGCTCATCCATCAACCACTTCCCTTTCTCGTTCAAAAGAGCTCTCTGTCTTATCACCCCCGAAACAGGATTGACATGGATAGCACAGCTCAGCTCTCCAGGTCCCCAGCAGCAGCAGCAGCAGCAGCAGCAGCAGGAGGAGGAGGAGGAGTAGTAGTAGTAGTAGTAGTAGTAGTAGTGGTAGTAGGTGTTGTGGCAGCGAGCAGGTACTAGCACTATAGCAAATGCTCGCATAAACAAACCAAGCTGGAGGGGTGTAGCTGGTAGTTGGTAGGTAGTAGTTAGGGTGCACGCTTAATTTGGTTTGTTTTACTTTTTCGGTAATTTTTCAAAATCATTGGAATAGAAAAGGCTTCTTATTAGTTCCTAGCTAATTACAGCAATTTCGTGTCCTTGGCAGAGACACAGGTGTCGTAGCTGGCCAAATACATTGGCAGGTTTCAATTTGACTGCCAGCTGGTTAGACTAATTTTTGTACCCCTAGCAGAGACAGGGCAGCAGAGACAGGGCTTTCGTAGCTGGCAAAATACATTGGAATAGTGTGGGTGTCAGAGAAATTCCTACCTATCACAACAGTTTGGTGCAGTTAGCAGAGAAACAGCAAAGATAAAGAGAACTAGCACAGGAGGCATCTTTGAGTTAACAGCTATGAGCCGCGCCACGAGGCAACGCCATATGGCGTCCGACATTGCCAGCTTCTTCTGCTATTTGCCATAGACTGTCCAGAAAAATCTGTCTTGGCATCTGTCCACCTATGGACTGACTCAGGTGGCAGAGAGAACCCTAGAATTGAAGGACACCCACCAGGATGTGAAAGAGAAAGTTGAAGGGATTTAGAAAGAGATGCCCCAAGGAGATTGAAGGCAATTTGAAAGGACTTTGAAGGGAAATTGGGGAAAACTCTGGAGAGGTTTGAAGATTCAACGACAAGACTTCAAGGCCCAAGGCGGTGTTAATTTATTGGGCATTTACAATATTTACATGTCAACCCACATCAGAAACGCAATGACAAAGCAAATGATGTAACATTGCTCCCAGTAACATTGCACACTTTGCGGGTGCAAAGTTTGTGGACCAGGGATCACTGCGCCACAGAGCAGTTCTGTTCTCCGCGCGCTGCCCGCAAGTTTGGTGCTGGCCAAACAATCCGACCCTTAGGATCACAAAGCGTTGCATTGGCGCACGGAGGTGTAAAATGATGCACAGAGCGGCAAAACTCTTGGCTTTTTTAAGCCTCAGGCCTGGGAACTGGCTTGCGTTCGCTTCGGCCATGTTTGAGCTTGTGGTCTCTGATCATGCTACGATTCACCGCTATCAAACGCCAGCTGAACCTCTTCTTCAGGCTCTTGTAGAGCAAGGAAGTTTTGCTAGCTTTTTGCAAATGTTTCACCAAATCTTGCTCACTCTTCCTCTGCTTTTCTTCGCGCTTCCGCTTACGCTCTTGCGAGCGTTGATAGTTGGATGCAGGGCTCATGGCCCAAAAATCAGATGTGTTGGTACTTTTGTGACTGTTAGAGGGGTGCATTGTTGCTTGAGCTTGGATATGGCTTGCGCCAGTGCTTGGGCTCGGGGGAGTTTAGGAACAGGACAGGTCAAAAGATGTCGAATGTTGAAATTGGCGACTAGCGCTTAGCACGCATAATTGGGTCAGAGTCATTGGGTGTGCGTGATGTGAGCCATTTTGCTGAGGTATCTGCAAAGCCTAAAGTCATGTTTCTGCGAGGCACTGCAAAATCTGACATAGACCCCAGAGAATGAGTCTCAGAAAAATGCACTTCTACTTTCACCGTTCTTCTTGACAAACAAGAACGCGCACGTGACAAAGCGTTAAATGAAGCCGAGGCAGTATCTATCTATCTATCTATCTATCTATCTATCAATCTAATCTAATCTAATCTAATCTACAGTAATCTAATCTAATCTAATCTAATCTATCCTAATCTATCCTATCTATCTATCTATCTATCTATCTTCCTATCCTATCCTATCCTATCCTATCCTATCTATCTATGTATCTATCCATCTATCTATCCTTCTATCTATCCATCTATCTATCCATCTATCCATCCATCTATCCATCTATCCATCTATCATCTATCCATCTTTCTATCTATCCATCTATCGATCTATCTATCTATCTATCCTATCTATCGATATATCTATCTATCTATCTATAGTGGATGATGATGGTTAGTAAAGGCCAACATCTCCAAATGGTGTCAATTGTTTACCGACTGTAACAGGTACTGGGACACCCCCAAACTATACATACGTGCTGCGGTCAAAAACATGCTCATTCTGCTGCCATCGCACTTCAAGGTTCCCTAATTATCGTTCCACACAGTCCCACCCACTCAACCCGGAGGTGAACAAGATCCAGGCCGGGCCTTGGGGGAGCCAGAGTTGGCAAACCTGATCTGGTTCTGCAAGTAGTCGGGCAGGAAAGCCGTCTGGTTGAAGGCCGCCCAGCTGTCCACCTCAAACACAGGTGGCAAACACCCAGCTTGACATGAAGCAACCTGCTAACCACCTGCTAACACGCAGGTTGAGAGAGTCAGGTGGTTGGGAAGACCTAAAACTAAACAGCCTTGTGTCCACCGTCAGCTCTCTCTCCTCCTCAAAATCAAGATCCTTTCCACCACTCATGAAACCCCCAAAAAGAAGAAAAAGCCTCGGCGTTGGAAGGTCTCAGCTGCTGGCTGAGGGGCTCCAGTGGCTTGGGCCAAGGCCATGCCCAACAACATGAAGTTCGTACTGCTGTAGCAGAACTTCCCCACGAAGGGCTGCGCTTGGCAATCCTCACCGCGCGCCAGGCGCTTGTGCGCTTGTGCGCAACGCTTCGGCAGCGAGGCCAAGGACGCTTCCCCAAAAAAACCAGTGGTGAGGCAGCGCGGCAGGCGCCCTTCTGTCCAACAACGCGCCAGCTGCGCTCAAGACTGGATCAAGCTTCCCGTCGAAGGGCCGTGGGGTCTCCCCAACTCAGTTCAACCATGGGTGGTCATTCAGCGGCCGTGCACTTGGTTCATTGTTGTTCTATACTGACTTTCGTGAGCACGCGGTTCACCTGTTGGAAGCACCCAACAGGTGATCTGCTCGGTTCACCGTGTCTCGAGGCTCGGAGGTATTCAAACCACCCGCGTTTTCGAAGGTTCCATGATAAAACAACACCTCCCACAACCACAACCATGCCACGAAACTGTTCATATCTGTTCATCCTTTCCTTTTTGATTTTGGATGGTCATTCGCAAGCCCATCATCCATCTCATGCAAAAACACCAACATTTAACTGTTGCACATGGCAAACGCGATCCGTGCGATCCCTGCCTTGGAGTGGTTGGCCACCCACGGGACGCTCATGAGCTCCGTCGGCTTGTAGAAGTGATTGGGCGTGGTGTAGAGCTCGGCCCTCAGCGGATCCTGCACCCCACCGCGGGAAACTCGCGCGCGGCGTGTGAGAGGGAGGGCGACCGGCCAAGACAGCTTAAGCACGGCCGCTGCCAGGTCGCGACAAAAACGGCGAGCACCCTGCCCCGAACGCGTCCCATGGCCGGCCTTGGAGATGCCGCCGCCCTTGGAGGGAGTGGCCGTGTCGAAGTCTGGGATGCTCGACCTCGGGATGTTGGACAGTGAGTCGCTGGGTCAGTTCCCCAATGAATTCTCCGACTTCTTGAACAAGAACTCCGAGTTCAAAGCTCCGCCACACACGCGCGCTTCACCAGTCAAGGGGCTGCATGCTCAAGAGCTGCCTCAAGGTCGTCTTGGCCAAGTCGGCACCCCACAACTCCTCCACACTGCTGAAGTTCTGGCTAGGGTCCTTCGCATTGGACAAAGGCCGGCAGCACATGATCTACCATTGGGAGACCTTTTTACTCAGCGCCCTGGACCCAAGACCTCCGAGGAAAGGGTTGCAGGACATCTTTCATGTGTGCTGGAATTGTCGTGCCACGCGAGGAGCATCCTAGAAGGGAAGAGGTGGCGTTGTAACCACCATCACCACCACCGACCAGAAGTGGAAGGTGTTTTTCCTGAATTCATGGGACTGGTTGGGTCTCTACGAATTGGCGGGCATGACGACCCAAGAGTTTTGAGCTGGTTGATTGTCACAATGAGATCTTTTAACATCTCGAGCACCGTGAATTTGGCATCCAGCGCATCATCATCTACATTCATCTACTATCTGAGAAATGTGCAAATACCATCAAAGGCTCATGATTTCAGCAAGCCTGCCCAGGCAAAGATGCAGAAGTCCTTGGCCGCCATCTTCCCCAGCAAGTCATCCACGAGCGGCGCGATCGCATCGTCCAATCCTCAGAACGACCAAACCGCGGAGTCCCAAATCGAACCCCGGTGTGCACCACAGATGGCTTCCAAATTGATGCCCATTCATCCACCAAGCCAATTGCTCAATTGACCCTTGCCCCTTGGCCTCTCTTAACCAATCTTGAGGTTGGGACATCTGCACTCTACACTGTACAGCCCTGACATTTGCACCATCCCGCAATTCCGACCGACCACCAGGTCTTCCTCGCAAGAAGCCCAGACCGCACTCCAGCCCAAAGCCATCCACGGGCACCCTACCAGCAACTTCCATCCCCAACTGCCAGGCACACCCCTCCCCAACCTCCAGAACCCCCTCCACCTCCCCCACCTCCCCACCCCCCTCATCTCATCCCTCACCTAGAACCCCCAGACGCCCTACCGGTTTCACCCAGACCGGCCGCGGCACGGAACTTTCCGCTGCCCACGAGCTTCATCACCGAGGCCGCGGTGAACATCTTGGTGACGCCTCGGGCTCGGACCGGTGACCGGGGGGAAGTTCGGTAAGAAAAAGGAACACCAACTGTGTTATATGTATGTGTATATATCTATATCTATATCTATATCTATTCTGTGTGTGTCATATGCATGTATATATATATATATATACTGCGCGTGTATAATGATATGATTTATATGCTTGTGTCATCACTTGTGTGTATGTATGTATGTGTATATATATATATATCAGTATCGTTCAGTCTTTCAAGGTCCCTGCCAAGTATCATTTCAATTCTCTTCTACCCACACTCTCTCCGTAAAGACCGTGTGCGCACACACTTTGGACGCGCCAACGCCCCTTTGGTTCTGCACAGGCGCTTCCCCAAGGATAGAGATCGCTCTCTTTCGCCGGCTGCGCATTCTCGAAGTCCACCACGCCACTTGCGACCGCTGCCTTTCCACTGGGCGTGCGGACCTGAGGGCGGTCGAATTCTGTCAGATCGCCGCCATCTTCGGCACGGCTGAAGCACGAAAGAAGGGCGATACATTCACAAAGCGTCATGGTTTTCCACTAGTCACAAGCCATGTGACAACAGGTCCAGTGAGTAGAGTAGGGGGGGGCAGCTGTTAAGTGGTTAGGGATAGTCTTTCAAAAAGCCTCCCGCATCTCCTGGCCGCGTTTCGCATGAAGGGTGGGCAGAACTCTTCAAAGTGCTTCTGAAGCCTCCGGGAAGTATGTCTGTTACCTTTGCCTATCACAAAGCCTCCCAACAGGTCAACCGGTGGATGATGCGCTCTTCAGAAGGTTGTGGCTACACATGATGTCAATGATGCATGTGTTGTAGCCATGCATTTCTCACACCGATTCTACCTCTACAACTCTATTCCCATGGGCGTTCTGCTGCGCCGCTTCGACACGATTTTCGCAATGGCGGAGTTCAGCTTCCTGGCGGCCACCGTTCCCAACAGCATCCCAACAAATACCCCATTCGCCCTCCGTTCGAGGCGACCACCATTGCACTCCTAGGGGCTGCGATGCTGAAGCTGCAGTTGTACTCCGCGCTCTTCTTCCGTGCCACTTCCAGCAACAACTCGTCCAGCTTCGTGGAGGCCGCGAGCGGCGTCACCACCCTGGGCTGCAAGGTGGTGCAGCACAGCCATGCGCTCGCTTGAAACACCTAGCCTTGGAAAATCCATGAAAATCCCAAGGAATCTGCCTAAACAAGTGGACTCCAACTTTTCGGTTTGGGAGATCGCCGAGATCGCTGCCACAATACACACTCATTTGCAGGCAGCCAGGTTCACACCCCACGAACCAACTCTTCTGCACTTCCCTTGCGCTCTTCCGGGCCCTTGCGCTCCAACCGCTGCCAAGGCTCACCAGGCAAAGCAAGCGCCACATGGTCCACGCTTTCACGAGCGTTCGGTCAACTCACCGAGCCGAACTTCGGCACAGGTGACGCTCCGGAGCGGTCGTTGGAGCTCGGCCCGAGGGATCCCCCCTCCAAAGTGCCCTTCGAAAGCATTGGAACGTGGGGGGAGTTTTTTTCTCTTCTCGAGGTGCAGGATTTCCCACAAGAAGCACCGAGATCGCAGAACTTATTGGGGCCCCAAAAAGCGGGTTCAAGATGTTCGATGTTCAGGAGGCAAGTGACCATCACTCGGTTTGAAGTCCATTTTTCCGCCAAGAGGGGGGCACGTGACCTTGTATAACTGGTAGGACCATACTGGAGTACCTGATCGTCTGGTTCTTCAACCTTGGTTGGACCACACCCAAGACATCGCAGGGTTTTCTTCGTGCCTCCACCGCGGGAAAGGCGAGAGGCCAGGACGGGTCGGTAGACCAATCACCCAACTAACGAGTTGACTTGTTGGTTAACACGTTGGACCATGGATCCCAGAAAGCCCCAGACGCCACTGGCTTGGTCGGAAACCCACCACCAAGCAGACCGAAGAAATTGGAAGCTGCCGTAGGAGGTCCTGCTCCAAAACCAGAAAGCGATCGCCTTTTTTTGACTCTCCCAGACACGGCCTTCTAAAAGACAGTGAACAAAAGTGCTCTACAAAATGGGTGGTCACAAAGGCGGTTTTTGACTTTCCTGGGAATGATACACACCAATCACTATAGTATCCTGTGGCCTTCAAAACGTCAGGAGGGGATCTACTCCAAAATGCTACCCTGTTACAGTGGCCTTAGGGGGCCCCATTCTGTAGTGGAAATGGGAAGGAGGATGATTGTGCCACACTCAACTTCTCCGGCCCCAAGTTTGTCATTGTCTTGCCTTCGGATGCTCTGTGATCTCAGGCCTGCACGAAGGCGGGAGAGAGGGGAAGCATGGCGAAGCGGGTGCTGGAAAAAGCTTCGCACCAACAAAAAAGGAATTTAACTTGAAACTTGTTGCCTTTCAGCTGGCTTACTCCAGCTGGCTTATATTGGGAGATGAAGTGCCTATCGCCAGGAACTTGAAGTTGAGGTGCAGTCTGCACCCAATGCAGCCATGATTTCTCTCCATCTAGTTCTGCCGGGAGGGGAACGATCCATCAAACGGACAAGTTTCAAAACACTGACAAGTGCAAAGAGTGTCGAGCCAAGCTGACATCCCGTTGCCTGGCCTCTCTTTGGGCAACTCCGCTGGCTCAGCCTCTCCTACACGACTTGACAATGGCAAGAAACTGGACAACACTGGGCATGTTCAAACGCCCTTCAAATTAGGCCACCGCAAATGCATACAAGAGAGTCCAGTTGGAAAGGACTATCTGGATATATAAAAGAAATCCCCGCTCCACGCATCAACCGTCTCCGCATTCCGGCATGACCCTCCATTAGTGGGCTGACCCCCAAAAAAGAACACTTAGAGCCTACCTACCACTCGTCTCGACCGACCTGAGCTTCCCGGCGCGGCTTTTGGCTCTGGATGCCCAAGAACTGCTTGTGGGCCAGGAGCTCCTGATGGTGGGTGGATGGCATGTGTGGCCCATCGATGTGCGAAGCCCAGTGTGATTTGGGGGGCGAACCTTGAAGGAGCAGACCTTGAAGAGCTTGAAGGCCCAGGGTCGTGGAGCTCTTTTTGGGACCCATGATCAACCTCGATCTCCAGTGAGCTCAAATTCCAGTCCTCGACCTCTTCCTCAAATGTCTGAGTCTTCTTGATCTCATCCTGCTTCTCGGCTGCAGGTAGTGCCTCAACGACGCTCTGCTCCTGCTGTTCCAACCTCTCTTGGTCGCCCTCACCCTCCTTCACCTCCTCATTCTCCAAGGTATCTGGCACTGCCTCAGCCACAATGGTCTCCTCCTGCTCCAAGGTGCCAGGTGCTGCCTCTGCTAGGGCTTTCTCCTTCTCCATCCCAGGCACGGTTTTCCTCTCCAGTGTCCCTGGAACTGCCTCGCCCAAACTCTTCTCTTCCTTTCCCGAAATCCCAGATGCCGCCCTCCTCTCCAAAGTGCCTGGCGTGGCCTCAAGGATGCTCTTCTCATCCTTCTTTTCCAAGGTTTCAGGCTCTACTTCTATTCTCTTCTCCACCTCCCTCCCCTCCAGCCTCCCACCTTTCTGCCTCTCTCGCGCCTGTTGCAGCCATTCCTCCCAGTCCCGTGCCAAATTACTGGAGCCCTTGCCACGTCGCAGCTCCGGCATGCTCGAGCGCTTCACGTGGAGGCTGCCCGGCACGGGGTGCAAGTCCTCCCACGCCGGGCGCAAGTCCTCCCGCGCCTGCACTTGAGCGGCAAAGAAGGGGACACTCGCAAAGGCTAATCCACTGGAGAGGCGGAGGTGGGCTGAAACTGCTCAGACATGAAGGATATGGGGTCCAAACAATTTGAGGCATGAGGGTGAGCAGCTGGTATGGCGGTTCCACTGACTTGGCTTATAGAGGAGGCTGCTTGCATCTTCCAATGTCCAACTAAGTCTCGCTCCCACTTGTCGGGCACATGATGAAATCTATGCGTTTCACATCGTTTCACGTGTCTGTAGAATGCCATTCTATATGCTGCCGTCAAGAACCAGAAACATACCACTGTCAAAACCCACCACCTCGTCTTCAAAAGGTCAACACATGAAGGGCTCCAAAAAAGCGTCCGCAGGGAGGGAATGGTAACCATGACATGGACATCGATGCATCGATGTCGTGTCGCAAAAAAACTGTTGAGGTGAGTCTCCCTCACCACGTCCGCTGCCTCGATGCGTGGCTCGGAGACGGCAGGTGCCTGGCCAAAGTCTCCAGATCAACAACTAGTTTGGTGGTGAAACCGTGAATCCTCGTGTGAGGGTCACAGACTGTTTTGCGTCCATGGACTTCTTGGATAACCACCATATGCCATCCCCACCAACAGGAATGATGACAGGAGCAAGTTCCTCAACATACCAAACAAACCAGTCGGACAAGCACCACAAGCAGCTGCTGGCTCTTAGCTTGAAGATCGTCCTACAAGGATTGGCAAGGTGGTTGTGCGCGTCCTTCATCGCCTCTTCCCCAGGGGGTCGCCTGTTGCGCGAGGACCACCTGCCCACTGGGAGACCGCAGAGGGACCCAGCCCTCCACCGGCTCACGGATGAAGGCGCCTCAGAAGCACGTGCCAAGTGAACAATGCCGGTTGCTCATGTTGCCCTTCCATTGGTGAAACAGCAGCGAAAAGCCAGCAGCCTCACCGTCACCCCCAAAGGGTTGGATCCAGAAAGAAAGGCATCTCTCATAAAACCTCGCACACGCTCTCTCACATACCTTCCTGATCCGAAGGCTCAAAGCTTCAAAGACAAGAGTCACAGAACCACACCAAACTCTCACCCCTTCCACCCCTTCCCATCCATTCCCCCTTCCAACCGTCCCCCTCCTCATCCACAGGAATGCCCAGGCACGATCATTCCGCAGCTCCTGCACGAAGACCGTCCGCCCGGGCGGCAGGTGGCCCACCACCTCTGTCAGCCTCGACTCGCCTCGGGCCGAGGAGAACGCGTTTCAGACGAAGACGAGGCCGGCTTTGTGCTGAGGCCTCCAAGGTAAGGCCACCCGGATCCATCGACACTCCCAAAATCATCATGGAAAACTGCAAAGAAGAAACCATGAACTATGTGGAGATCCGTGGCTTTGTCGCCTATGAATATACAATGAATCGAGACGACTTATCAAGACTCCACACAGCCCCCAACAAGTCCGACTGGTCCGACCATGGATCACCAAGACCAAGACTCGACCCGTCGCTTGCGACTCGACCCATCCAAATGGATCGGTCGAGCCCGCTTGCTCTACTTGATTCACCTTGCAACAGTGGATGTTCCAGGTGCTCTTTCCAAAATGGTTGGAGGTTCCCAAGGCTTTTTCCAGTGGATGTTCCAAGGCCCAACAACAAATGGATACAAATGGCTTGCTCTGGAAAGTTCACCCCCTTGGGAGATGCCTTGACCAGCCACCAACCCACGATCCACTCGTGACCGCTTCAGGGATGGTGAGATGGTGTCACTCGGTTTGTCCAGGTCCTGCCTTTGCAAACGATGGCCTTGAGGTGTGTCCACCACCAACCTGGCGGCACTGCGAGCAACAGAACAAGCGGGGAGCTACCTGGGAAAAAGAACAAGCTGGCAGTGAGAGGTCTACACGGTAAGGATTGAGAATTATCCTGCATTTTCTTCTGGCACTGAACTGCAGTGAGCAGGTTACTTGCTCGAGTGCACCTACGGACAGCAGCGACCTTTGATACGAATGCCTGGTGAATACCAACATCAATAGAACTCCACCAGCTGGCACTGCCATGTATCCCCCAACATCAGTGACAGAACACCTCTGAGCAAAAGGGTCTCCCCACCACCCCTGCACACACATCCCCCAAATATAACGCCCCACGAACCAGACTATCTTCCTCTCTCGGGTTGAAGGGGCCAAACGAACGCTTCTCAAAAACAACCTCAGAGAGGCGCACCTGGCCCTTCTGCGGGCCTCAGTGAGGAAATCACAAGCCATTCTTGGCGAGATGCCAGGTCCTTTTCCTGGTTGAGACCCCATGTCGCACGTGGTGATCTGTGGCGCGCATTGTTGGGGAGGCTTCGCTGTTTGTCATGCTAAAGTTTTGGAGGTGTCGGGTTGAAGCTGCCGAGCTTCAGAACCTCATGGCGTCAGGAGCCTCATCACCGGGGGGGCTTCCCATTGAAACCACCCGTTCGCCCATTTCATCTGATCCTCTTGGCACTTTGAGCTGCCCGGACGGCGTCGTCTGATTGATACGCTCCTCCACTGCCGAGCGGAGGTGGAGAAACGCGCGCGTCCAAACGCTGGGCAGCAAGTCGGGGGCTGCCTAGAGTTGAGTATGGACACACTACATTGTCACTACCACGACCCTCTAAGGGGTGCCCAATGGAAGCCAAAAGGTCGTGTGGAGTAGTCCATTGGACACCCCTTGGAGGGTCCTGGTACAGGAACCCAGGTGCGCCATGGTCACAAGATGTCTCCATGTCGGTGCGCGATGGTCATCCTACGGTTGCAGAATGTTGCCAGGAGGCACCGAGTGGGGGGTTGTATATATGCATCAAAGTCCCTTCAGGACCTTATTAGAGAACGATCAATCTCTTTTCACGACCCGCAAATGTGCATACAGAGTGCGGGTTGAAGGAAAAACCGATGCAATGACAAACAAAGACCTCACGTCTGCACCTGGCTTCTGATGTGAACAAAGGTGACCTACCGTCGTGGCCACAGTTCTCAGAAGCTCCTATAGGGTCCCAATGGCTCTTGCATTCTTCAATCTCTGTCGAAAAGAACAGCAGGGCCTCCAAGCAAATACTCCACCAAACCCAAACCCCTCAACCCCTAGTCGCAGTCCCACACAGCTGCCACCTTTTCCAAGCCCCCGTGCCACCCATCCCTCCGCCTCCATCTTGACTTCCTCGACTTCTGCCGGCTCAGAACCCTCGGAGCTGGAACTGGAGGCCTGCCACGGGCTGCTTTTACGACACAAATGGGGACCCCTCGCATTCCGTGTGGGAGGATAAGCCTTCTGGATTTGGAGGTCGGGCCTCTCACAGAGTTGCTGAAAAAGTAAGCAAGGTCTGACAAACCAACAGGGTCAACATCGGTACTTCTGCCAAGCAACTTGAGCTCAAAGAAACTGTTTGAGGGAAGTTGAGGGAAGCCTGACGCACGTCTCGGGGTATCCTGGAATGGATCTATTCGATCTATGTATAAGTGGCTCTTTCCTCCTCATTGCCCAGAATCTTATCCCTTGCCTTTATTATCTGTATTCCACTCAACATACATTCACATCTTGAGCAGAACCAAGGATGTTCTTCAAGTCCTGCGTTTCTCCTCCTGCCTCCGAGCTGTCGGAGCTGGAGCTGGCCTGGGAGAAAACAAGCCCGGGAGACCGACTCCTCGTCGTGTGCGAGCAAAAAGGGGCGTAGATGTGAGACCCATTGAGCCCCCCGACCTGCCTGAACTTCATCTACAGTAATCTACAGTATATATCAGCGTCCAATTGAGGTGCGTCGAAGTCAATCCCTCACGATGAAACATCGCCGCTTTTGGGCTTGGAAGGCCTGTTGGCACGTATTATACTGCTGGGCAAAAAGGGTCGAAGAACCCGGGAATAGCGCAGCACTGCCCTATACCTCCAGCCCTGCCTCAGAACTGGTTGAGGAGGCACTGTTCTTGGCCCCGGCCTGACACCAAGCCAAGTCCACCTTCTCCAACCAGAGACAAGAAGTGACAAGAAAAATAAACATGCCTCCCTGGTGGTGGGATCTCGGGTGGCTGACCTTCAACATAGGAAATGATGATAGAGAGAGCTCACAAGGCATTCCCGGTGGTCACAAAAGAACGGTTGGTAGCCTCACAAGACTTGGATGGTTTGACAAGGAGAATTATGTGAGTCCGTCGCATATCGCCCTCACACTCTTTTCGCCGGCCGGATGTGTTCAGGCGATTGGCGTGAAGCTGGCCATGAAATGATCGGGATGATGGAATTCAATGCGTGCTTCGTAGCCAAATGACCGTGCCCAAGCGTTCAGCAACTCGAGGACGTGAGCCGTCTCGCAGCCAAGGAAGACACAGCTCACTGATTTATAAAAAACCTCTTTAAGCCCTTTGCACTTGTCTTCAGGAAACTGGATAGGGAAAAGTAACTCGAAAGCTTCCTGCGAAGAGACCTGCACAGTGCCAACCGCAGGTGCCATTGACTTTTCCAGCGCTTTTTGCACAATCAGGTTCGCCAGGAGCGCAGCTGTATGTATTCCCCGTTCTTTTACAAGTCTGTCTTTTTCTACCTTTGTCTTTGCCCTGACGCTGGGAAGGCAAACGCCATCCTCCACGATCCTCGGCTACACACTGACGGGTCACTAACGCCACCTCTGGGCACTTCTTCTATACGTTGCTATGCCCAGTCCTACCCTCAGCTACATTTTAATTGCACCAGCATAGACCCAGATAGCTAGGCAGAATGCCACGACCTGTTGACATGCGACTGGCTGCGTACAGCCTAACCTGCCTCCACCATGTCCACAGCCAGCTTACAGCACCAGCACCAGCACCGGCACCTGGCACCCAGCACCAGCACCAGCAACCTGCCACCAGCACCGGCAACCGGCACCGGCACCAGCACCAGCAACCTGTCTCCACCAGCTGCACAGCCAGCTCACAGCACCAGCACCAGCACCGACACCCGGCACCCAGCACCAGCACCCACCACCACCACCAGCAAGCTGTCTCCACCACGTGCACAGCCAGCTCACAGCACCACCACCAGCACCGGCACCCGGCACCCGGCACCCAGCACCAGCGCCAGCAACCTGTCTCCACCACGTGCACAGCCAGCTCACAGCACCAGCACCGGCACCCGGCACCAGCAACCAGCAACCTGTCTCCACCACGTGCACAGCTGGCTCACAGCACCAGCACCGGCACCCAGCACCAGCAACCTGTCTCGAAAGCGCGCACGGGCGACTCATTTTTATTTGAAGTAAGAACCCCATAGCTTCGCTATCTGGTGAAAAACAAACAATACAGTGCTCTTCCAAATCAATTCACCCGAACTTAAACCATCCGTAGCAATCAAGCAAGGAGTCCCAACACGGTTCTCCTCTTTAAGTTCACACTCCAGGAGTCTCTTCAGGCGCCAGGTCGAGGCCAAATCGCTTGACCTCCCGCAGCACGGCTTCCTTTGAGATCATGGGGGGCAGGAGGATTTTCCGGTCGCGGTGGTACTCAAGGACGTATTTGAAGAGATCTTGGTCACCTGTGTCGGTTCATGCCGTGGTCACGCCGGTTCATGCTTCGAAAGCAAACCAATCCCCATGCCATCCACAAAACCAGGACAAATATGGACAAATTGCACCACCCACCCACAAAGTTGAAAAGAGCGCAGCAACATGTCTGTAAAAAGCAGAGCAGGCCACGCACCTGTCACTGAAAAAACCGTGTCCCAAGAAAGCCACTCCCAGAAACACGTTTTCGAGATGGGCCCTTTGTCTCGGAGGTTTACCGACGCTGGATGGTCCACCACTACCTGACGACTCCAAGCAATTCAACCACGGCCTTCCACGAAAATCTCCTTCTCATTGCCCTTCTCCTCTGCCAACTGCGTCAGGAGCGAGTTCGGATGCAGACTCAACGTCGGCTCCCGCAGCACGGTGTAGATCTTTCCGCTCACGTTGAACGTCACGAGATCCGAACCATCCGCAGCCCGATGAACGTCGGCTTCGGAACGCTGTCTTTTCATGGCTGGCTGGCTGGAAGTCGCTGCAGGTCGGCCGACACTGGCGCTCAGAATGCCACTCCAACCAACATGGCTTGCGGATCTGTTTCAGCCAGCCGAGGCACAGCCATTCCTTTGGATGAACACCTTCCACTCCTACCTGCCATGAAGCTTGACCAACATCGGAATCAATGAAAGGTGCCCAAGGAGACCCATAGGAAAACCATCATTCTTGTCACAGGAGGTTCCAACCAAGTTCTAACCACGCTGCTTGTCAGATCCTAAAGCTCCTCCCTAACTCCAGCATCTCCCCCCTCACCCACGCCATGATGCGCGTCGGTGAGAATCATGCAAGCACCAATCGAATTGGAAAACCCCTGTTTGTAGAGGACCATTGTCCACTTCCATGTTTAGTTCTAGAGAGGGTACTACACGAATCTGACCGGTTTCTGGTTCCAGTTCAGCATAGCATATGATCATTTCAGCCCACAGTCGCCATCTGGTATGTGAAATGAGGAGTGGTATACCCGTATTGGCCCGGGATACCGCGAAAAGCTAAGGACGAAAAAGAAGTAAGAAAACGGGACATTAGTTTTCTAACACTAGTTAACGGTTCTTAACATTTCACACTTAACATTGTTCTGGTGCCATTTTGGCCCAAGGGCCCACGGCCAACTCTCAAACCTCTCTGAATACTCTCACATTGTTGTGAGAAACACCCGCACTAGGACTGCGGCTGAAGTAATGAGAGTTTGGAATCGCTTGGGCAAAGGAGGCCCAAAGAAAAACAAAAGTTGGCCTGTCTCCAAACACTTGGAGGCGAGCGAGGCCTCCGAAAAGACCACATCGAAGTGTTCATGCTACTCAATGTCAGCGCCTTCAAAAAATGCAGCTAGTAAAGCCACAAGAAGATCTGGGCACAGCCTTCGGGAACTTCAAGGTCAATGGGGTTCTCACCAAACCTCCCTGGATGAACAGCTAACAGTGCCACAGTCACAAACAATGTGCCCTCTGGGCGGCTCGCTGAAAAACATCCCCGGATGTGGCATCGCTCTGTGTTGGTCTGGGACGGACTCCCCGTGCCCGTCAGCCAGCAACATCTGTCTCCGGGGCGGCGACCCATCCATCTTCTCGGTCAAGGAAAATGAGCAATGTTCAAGCACGTGGTGAGAATGCGACCATAGGCTCTCCATCATCATCACGTTCTTCTGGTTTTAGTCCTTCTCGACACGCTAAGCCAACTGACTTCGCCCAATTTTGAAGCAACTCCTGGAAATGAGCTTCGTCGGAATCAGAAAAGATCTGACAGATGAAGTGTATCTTGTGATCTTTGCACAGTAACACTACGATCTCGCGAAGTGTGACATGAATTTCCCTGTCAGCTACGGTTTCCATCGATTTCCTCAATGCCGCTTGCGCGACCAAGTTCATGAGCAACGCAGCAAAAAGCTTCCCTTCTCTGTCTTGAGTTTCTCGTCTTCCATATTCATCCTTTCGCGGATGCTGGGAATGCAAATGCTTCCCTCCACAATCCTCGGCTGCAAACTTGGTCAACACACCTTGAAGCTCAAAACTGCCAAGACAGTCCTCCAAACCTCGTACCAATCAAACAGATTCCAATAGAAAAAAAACTCCTAGCTTCTCTTCTGGCCTCGGATCCAAGCCGAATCGTTTCACTTCTCTGAGAACCGCTTCCTTCGAGACCACTGAGGGCAGGATGATCTTCCGGTCACAGTGCTATTCCAGGACGTATTTGAAGAGGTCCTGATCACCTACACGGAGCAAACGGCACCATCTCCCAGGCTCCCAACATCCGTTCTTGTGCGACAGCCGACCACCCACGAAGCCGAAGGATCCACCAAGAGACTCGGGGACCCGGACTCTGGAAGGTCTAGAAGTCCAGTTCGACCATTCTTGGCACCGAAGTCCAGTTCGACTGCCTTCATCGGACTCCGGACACCGAACAGAACTCTTGGGAGGGACGGTCATCGATCCTCCGATCACGCCAATCATGGAAATGGCTCGCTGGAACAGTGGCCATCCTCTACAGTGGTTTTAAGGTTAGGATCCGGTACATGTGAGCTCTTGCAGGGTGTAAAGTGTAAAGGGCCAAGAGACCCTGCTGAAAGGAGATTCTTCTCTCTCGGAGTTCTTACCCTGCATTGAAAACCAGCTGGTCCTTTCATACGGTAAACGCCGCAGGCCTTTCAGGCGTTCCATGCCGGCTCATACCCCAAAACCCCCACCCCAAGCAATTCAACGCGCGGCCTTCCGCGAAAATCTCCTTCTCATTGCCCTTCTCCTCTGCCAACTGCGAGTTCGGATGCAGACTCGTCGGCTCCCGCAGACACGGCGGCTCTCATCGCTCACCGCCATGTCCGGTGTAGGAAGCATCGGAACCGCCCGTTCATCGGCGGTTTCCATGGCTGGCTGGCTGGCTGGCTGGGTGGGAGACTTGCACCAAACTGGCTGCAAGGGCAGGAAAATTGGCTCAAAGGACGGTGCAGAAAGTCGGACGACAAACGACACAAAACGTGTCCAGTGCCGCTCTTTGAGGTGCGTGCCTACGAAGACCTTTTTGGCACTGCACCGGCCACATATATTCATCCACGCCAACCAGTTCAAACCATGCAGACTTCCTGACCCTCCTCCGCTGCGAGGACAAACCGAGCGTTCTTGCTTGCACCATTCCCACCCTGTCTCGGCTTTGGCCTTGGGCTTAGCCGCTGCTGCCTGCAGAGGTGGTGTCCGGCGGGACCTCTGGGATGTCTCAATTGAATGTAACTAAAGAATACTAAAGGAAGCGCTGGCAAGAATGAGCAACATAATTCGAAGCATGTATTGTGCAGTGTTTTGCAGCCAAAAAGTGGTCGCCCCCAAGGCCCTCTGCAGAATGCCCCCATGTGTGCAACAACTCTCTGCCGGCAACTGCCCACCCACCCACCCAAATCATCTGCTTAGACCTACCCCAAATGCACATAGCAGTCAACTGCCCTGGGCCACTCGCACCTTGACCTTCCCCTGGGCGTTCGCAGGGCTCCGGGCTTTGGGCGGCTCCTGGCAAAGCCCAGCAGTGCTGTGCTCCCGGAGCTCCCTCCCAACTAATTTCAAGTGAACAGTCAACCATCAAAAGCCACTGAAAGTCAGTCAAGGTCCACAAAGCCGACTCCTCGTGAAAAAAGAAATGCAATCTGATTGACAACCAACTGCCGACTGCAAAGCTGTCTTGCAGGTGCTTCGTGCAGGTGAACCTCCCCACCCGCAACACGCCACCCACGCCTTCGGCTTCGCTTTGGGTGGAGCCGGCACCTTCGGTGGCAAACACCGGCTAAACCGCTGTTGCCCCCAAAAGAGATCAAGGCTATGAACCAAAGAGCGCGAAAACATGAACCGGGGAAGCAACCGGAACAAAGAATGAATGGAACATGAATGTGTCTCCGGTTTCTTCGTTGTTTAACATGAATGCGTTGCAAAAGCAAAAGCATCGTCAAAAATATGTTCCCATATGTTCGATCAACCCGTGTTTGGCAGAAGCCAACCCAAGTTGAAAAGTGCTGGAATACCAACATGGTTCTCAACACCCGAATGTCCTCTCCCAACCTTATCCTCTTCTAATCTCACATGCTATTTCTATCTATTTCTGCTATGGAATGCTTCCCCAAGACTCCCACGGCCTCGGATTCACTTCGCTTGGACACACGGACCCCGAATGGCCTCGCTGCTCGAGCTCGACTCACTGGTCTCCTGCTGCCGGGCGCATCGCGCCGGTGCGTGATCCCACGAAAAGTAAGAACGGATTCAAAAAAGAAACTGATTCAGGATACCTGCAAAAGGGTGAAACCCATTGAATCATTGTATCAACCAACTAACTCATGATTTCCATGACATCTATGAGGACGTTGTATCCCATATGGTTCTGGCCTGCTGACAGCACCTGGCTCAAAACAAAACCTGCGCTTTGGAGCCTGGAACGAACCATCTGAGCCGCTCCTGTCGTGCAGGACCAGCCAGCTGCTGCGACTTTTGCGGTGGCCCTGCTTCTCCAGTTGGCTCTTCCTGCATGCCGTGCTTCATATCATGGAAACAAGGGTATATAGAGTGATGGCACTAAGGGCAATGGCAGATGGCAAACATTCTTCTCAGCCTGGCAACTCCTTTGAAGTTTGGGAATCCTTTAAAAAAATGCCACCCAAAAAAAGGAGCAACCAAATCCTCGCAAGAGTGCAACAGCTCCCCCCACCCCACCTGCGCGGGGCGTCGCCGGGGCCCACCGATCCAACACGGCGCTTCGCCCCCGCCTGCACCAGCGCCGGCGCCCTCTGCGGCGTGATCACCGAGACCCAGCCCTCGTAGGGCTCCACGAGGCGCGCCTGGGGCGAAGATCCCTCAAGCACTTCCCAAGCAGTCCCCCCTAGTAGTACGCGGGCTCTTCTCCGCTCAAAAACCTCGGGAGAGGTCGAAAGCCTCCTACAGCAGATGGACTGCAAGTGTCCCACATTCTTCTGAACTCTGGAATGGCGCCAGCGGCGCCTGTAGTTTGAGAAAGCCCACTATTGTCTTGCTAAGGGTTTGATGATTTGGTCCACCTGGAGGGTCCAGGACCAACAAAGCAATCTTTTTTCGCATGGCCCCTCAGGATCCTCCTGGGAGAATGCCAAACTAGACTGAATTAAATGAAAGAAGAGTCTAACAAACACGGGCTATCAATGGATTTTGGGGTACTTTGGGGTTGACTCATGGCCCTGGCTGTATTCTACGAGCTTCTGAAATCATCACCATGGATGGCACTGTTGTGAGTGGGGAGATGTCACTTGATCAGTGAGGGCGATGAAGATTTCTTCACCAAGTTGGGCCCTTGAGCTCCAGCCACAGCTTCTCCCACCCCGCCCCGTCTTTCTGCCAGGCATTCGTGAAATCCAAAGAGAATGGAAGTTCTACGGGTCTATATCTACCACTACTACACACCACATCAAGATACATCAAATCTAAAAACGATCTGGTAGCATTTGGCAAGCTCCTCTTCATCCCATAAGCATCCCCTAAGTTGACCCTTTATAAACACCATTTCAACGCAACCGTGGCCCATCCTCAGGAGCCCCGACCCGGAGCTCCACCAGCTCGGCGATGTGCAGGCGCGCACCCGGCGGCAGGGTTCCTGGGGAAGATCCGAGCGGCGCCCTTTGCACGTAGCTACTCCAAAAGGCTTTGAACACCAATAAGATCTAATAAGTAAGTCCAAAAGGATGTGCACAAATGATCCCGGCTGTGTAACACAGGTGATCCTCTGTCTGTGATTGATTGGTGGTTGAATCACGTTCATCCGCGAACTGCAGATGCGTGGCCAAAGGTCACGCGTCTGATCGTCTCATAATTCGCATGGGGACCAGATCGTTTTCGATATGCAGCCCTAAGTGTGATCATAGTCATGCAGTGACTCCAAAACACTTCTTGTTATATATGCACAGACCCCGACAGAGTGAGAGATAGAGAGAGGCAGAGAGAGTGGGAGAGGCATGTCTCCAAGCATAGAAACAGTTTCCAAATATACCTTTCAAAGGGAATTGACGTTCTATTTTCCGGTTGGAGGGTGCCTGTGTATGGCTTTGCACATCCTGGCCTTGAATCATGTGTGCCGCTGTGAGTGCAGGGCCTTTCTTGGAGGTCAAATACCTCCAAGCCTTGCGCACCTCCCTGCCATGCCCTCGCAGCTGAACCCCCGGAGACGCGTCGCTCCGACCCAGTGGGGTTCCCTGCACCGAGCCGCCCAGGAGTTCACTCCGCTTCTGCTTCCCCGCGCGCACGTTCAGCTCCACCAGCGCTGAAGCCCAGCCGGGGCGGATCTCGGTGTGGGACGGTGGGAGTGCTGCAGGTGCAGGTCGGAGTCTTCTTCGCCCCTCCGAAGAAAAGGACGCGTCACACAAAGTGCAACACCCGCCAGAATGGAGCTGAGAACGGATTGAGAACATCAGCTAACCTCCAAGCACCCCCCCCACCCACCCACCCACCTTTTCCCTTCTTCCGAGAATCCACCGGCAAATCGTTCAGGCTCACCGCATCCTCGTTGCTCTCTGCCGCCCAGGGCTCCGCGGGCCACGCCACGCCCTCGGACAGCTCCACGCAGCGGCCGCCGGCCGCGTGGATCGAAATCCACCCGGCCAAAGGCCCCTGCAGCTGCGCCTGAAGGCTTCAGGGCGGAAGGAGGGAAGGAGCTGGGGGTCAGTTTTCGGGTGTACGGTGTATGCATGTCTGCTGAAGACTGCTGAAGAGTAGTTCTAAGGTCGGTCGTCTTTTTGCTGGTCAGTTTGTGGTTGGCTTCCAAGGGTGGGTCATCACATGACACAAAAGCATCCCGAAACTCCTTCCAACGACGTGGTTGAAACGTTCCCCCCCCCCAACCGCCCAGCCCGCGAAAGCCAAGCCCAGCCCAGCCGAAAGCCAAGCCGTGCACCAAGGCACGTGCACACCACTGACGCGGAGAATGTGAACATCTCGACCTGCAGGGATGGAGCCTGAGCTTTCAGATGCGCATGCACCCCGCACACCTCGGTCCTCGCTTTGGGTGAAGCGAAGCTGGTTTTGAGGCACGGGATCTGGCACTTCCGTGATGGCCTGACAAAAAGGGATCTCCTGGCTGAAGAGGAGCCGAGCGTGGCCCAGGGGCCCTCTGCTTCCCGACTTTTTGCCAAGAAAGCAGCCCAAAGCCAAAGATCATCAATAACTGCTGGATCACCGGACATGTTTTCTTCACCCTGCTAGGCTGCTCCACAACTTACACCCCAAAAGTGTGCACAACTGCAAGCCCCACAAAGTTGGTCAGAAATCATCCAAAACGCCTCTTGTCTGGTGGGGGCACTCGGTCTCAGTATCCTTTGAAGAATCACATGCAGCGGGTGCATCACACGAACATGCTGGTCGTCCGCCACCCGGCCACCGTTTCACATTCCATTCGCCCAGGCGCCAATGACCTCCGAGTGCTTCGACGGGCTCGCGCGCACGGTGAGCTCGCGCAGGGCCCAACCCACGGCCTAATTCAACGCGGCCGGTCGAAAGTGGTCATGGGGGGGGCGTTCATCACTCATAGCCTTCACGCGTGGCCCATCTTCAAGAAACGTTGGTTGGTCAATGCCCACTCCACGCTCCAATGGAATTGCATTTGGATTTGGGTCTTTGCAACGTAACCCTCTTTGTGGAACTCCATCGGGTCTCTCTTTGTTCCCCCGTACGACATCGCACCTCGAAGCTCACTCCAGTCTCGTCTTCGACCTCCTCATCCATGAGGAGCTCGCCTCCTGACTCAAAGGTCATCCCCTGGGACGGGTTTGGCCGGGATTGCCCTTGCGCAATGCGCAGAAGGAGGTAGAAGCTCCCCAGCTGACGTGGGAGTTCTGTCAGATTGCAGGAGCAAAAACGATGGAAGGACCACACACAGTCCGTGACAGGATGTGGATTGGCGCAACAGAAATGGCCCCCCAAACAAAAAGCTTTGGAAACCTCAACCTCATCAATCCTAGACCTTTTCGGTCATGTTTGCTGCTTCCCGGGCTTTCGGGTGAGTAGGACCACACAACTTGCTGGGTTCACACCGCCAAAGTCCGAGCGGTTCCGAGTGGCGAGTGTGGTGCGTGTGGCGAGGGCCTGTGCCTCCCCACTCTGAATGAATCCACCCGGTCCTCTGGCTTCTGGCAACTCCCACGGTCACTTGCACCAGCCATGGCTTCATCACGGGCGAGGTGAGGCCAAGCAAGCAAAGAGCATTCGGTGTCTCGTGTGGGGGCCAAAACCACCAGGCATCGTTGCTTTCTTTGCAGGTGTTTGGTAAATTCCCGATGCCGCCAGGTGCAGCAGGAGACCTTCGGATGGTGCTGTGCTGGCCCAGCTGCATTCGATCACACCAAGGGCTTCAGGTCATCGACATGCGCGCGGGGGTCGGACGATCGAAGACCTGAGGTTTAGTGGTCATCGAACGTGTCAGGCATCGCTGCCTTGGGATGACATACCCGTTCGAAAATGATCTTGAAAGTCTAAATGCCACATACATGTGCATCAATTCAATCAGCAACAGCCTTGAACAGACGGATGGTCTCAAACAAACCAACTGTAGAACACATCGCAGGCAGTGCTACAAAGCCTGAAACCATGTGGCGTCCAAATGCCTGTCAAAGAGAAACGTCAAGGTACGAAAACCATCCCCCACAAAACCACACGCAGGACTGTCTGCTTTTGAAACTTTAGGAGTGCCCGTGTGGGTCTGTTGCCCGTCCAAGTGCACTGTTGGCACTTGTCCACCCAGTGATGTCCGCTCAGCGTGCTCCCTGCAACCCAGCGGCGCATTCACTACTTCATGCGGAACGAGACAACAATCCTGCACCGATATAGATGCACAAAGATGTCTCTTCAATTTCACCTCAAGGTCTGCCAAAATGACCAAGACAAAGGAGCGAAGATGATCGGTGATGGCCAAACATCATGACTCATGACAGTAGGCATTGGCTCATGCAAAAAACCTAAGACATGTTGGACAATGCTACGACCCGTTGCAATATGTCCATTCTGGACTGGCTCTCTTGAATTCGTTCTGCTCTATCTGCGCAATCTGCAGCACTGAAGTGACGCGGAAAACACCGCAGCAAGACTGGCTTCGAATAGATTTGGGACTTGACCAGGGGCTGGGTGGCTTGTGCAGATCTTGGCAGCCAGGACAACACTTTTTCAAACTCATCATGCCAGGCATTGATGGAAACAGGCCGCACAGACTTTG